TAAAGAGAGAGAGAGAGAGAGAAACACCCTTCCATAGGCCTGGTCACACCATGATCCCGTCTCCATTTCTCCATCTTGCTGGGTCTGGGGTATGCATGCAAATGCACCCAATGTGTTCTTCCAGCCAGCAGAACTGAGATTTGCACTGTGGTTGGCCATGTGGGATTTACCTCCCTTCACCTCTAGGCCACAGGGCTGGCCCAGCACCTCGAATCTACTAAAACTCCGTTAGCTGGGGACCAGCAGTTAGCGTAATGGCTATGTTGCTGGATTCCCATGTAGCCGACGGCGGTTCGCGTGCCAGACCTGGTGGCTTGAAACTCACGCCAGGCTCATGTGTGTGCATGCCCAAGATCCCAAGAGAAGAATAGAGGAGAAGGGATTGCGGTGTGGCTATCCCCCCTGGGGGGGGTGATTTATCGCTTTCTGTCTCTATCTCTCTCTGTCTGTCTGGTGAGTGCATGCGCCCTATAGCAAAAACCTCCCCAAAAACAAACAAACAAACAAACAAAAACTCCGTTAGCTGGGGATGTCCAGTCACCTGATTTTAACACTCAGAACGAGTCTTTCCAATTAGCGTGCTAGTCCAAAGAGCACTGTTTAGAGCTGAGTAGCTGAAGTGATGAAGGGAGGGGCAGATGGGCCCCTGTTTATAAAGGGAGATTTTCACTGTAGGGCGCGTGGGCTCGCCAGACAGACAGAGAGAGACATAGAGACAGAAAGCGAGAAATCACCCCCAGGGGGGATGGTCACGCCGCAATCCCTTCTCCTCCATTCTCCTCTCGGGATCTTGGGCACGCATGCACACGCGCCCGGCATGAGTTTTAAGCCACCGGGTCCGGGACACGAACCGCGGTCGACTACGTGGGAGTCCAGCGACATAGCCATTACGCTAACTGCTGGTTCCCAATCGTTGTCCCCTTTCAAACCAATCCTACACCTGATGGACTGCTGGCAAACCATCTCTCTAGGCCCAGCCCCCCAAATTGGCCACTGCCTCTCTGAGAAGGAGGTGGGTCAGAGAAACAGCAGAAACCCAGCCTTCTCTGTGAGTCATCGTCTTCCAAGCCACTTGAGCAGGTGGAGAACAGTTGCCAAGTGCCAGGATTTCTTTCTGCAGTGACAGCTGGGAGAAGTGGCAAGTGTCAGCCTTCTCCCTCTATCTGCCCCTCTGCCCACACCAGCACCAGCACCTGCTCCCTGAAAACTCCTGGCGGGGTGATCCAAGCACTGTAAAGCTTCTCGGCAGCCAAGAGACAGCCAGGGGCAGCCTCTGCTCCTGAGCCTGGTTGTCAGCTGCTACAGATTGGGGCTGTCTTCTCCAGGTTCCCGCTCCTCAGAGGGGCCACGCCAGTTTTTGCAACCCCACTCATCTCATCTGGGACTTTCTGTCTCTCTCTTGACTCTAGATAGGTGTATTGATTTAATACACATTTATCGGGAACCAGCAGTTAGCGTAATGGCTATGTCGCTGGACTCCCACGTAGTCGACAGCGGTTCGTGTCCTGGACCTGACGGCTTAAAACTCATGCCGGGCGCGTGTGCGTGTGTGCCCAAGATCCCGAGAGGAGAATGGAGGAGAAGGGATTGCAGCGTGACCATCCCCCCTGGGGGTGATTTCTCACTTTCTGTCTCTATGTCTCTCTCTGTCTGGCGAGGGCCCGAGCCCTATAGCGAAAATCTCTCCAAAAAAAAAAAAAATACACATTTATCAAGAACTCACTAAAGGAGTTTGGCAAAGCGGGGCTGGAGGCCTGTAAGCAGAGCCGTCATGTCGCACGCACAAATCTACTATTCGGACATATATGAAGACAAGGAGTTAGAGTATCGGCATGTCATGTTGCCCAAGGACAGAGCCAAGCTTTTCCTCAAACCCATTTGATGTCTGAATCTGAATGGAAGAATCTTGGCATTCAGCGGAGTCAGGGATGGGTCCATTATATAATCCATGAACCAGAATTTCACATCTGGCTGTTCCAGAGGCCTCTACCCAAGAAGCCAAAGAAACGAAGCTGAGAAGTCACTTTTCAGTGTCCAGCTCTACCCAGCTGTCCTTTCTAACATCTTTCCTGTTTTAAAAAATAATTATTTATTTAATTTTATTTATTAATTCATTTAATGTGACTAGACACACACACATACACACACACACACACACACACAGGTTGAGAGAGAGGGAAAGTGAGAAAGCAAGCCACCAGGTCTGGGACTCGAACCGTGGCCAGCCATATGGGAGTGCCCAGTGCCTTAACCACCACACCACCTGCTGGTCCCCTCTAACGTCCTTCTGATCACCTGACTATGCCACCTTCCTGTTTCTCACTTTGGTACTTTAAGGATATTCAATACACTGTTTGAATGTGCTGGTAATTGCTTTGTTTCTTGAGTAGAGCCAAAACCACAGCAGCCCAGCCAGGTGAGTGCTCTACGGGCCACCGGCTGTGACCCCGGGAGCCACGGTGCTGTCTGTCTCCAGAAAACACTTGACGGATGGAGGAAGCATCTGAGACTAAGACCATGGCTGTTCCCAGGATTGTGTAAGCTGGTTTTGTTTTTTCCTGCTGGGTCTTTTATGTATGGTGGGTTTATATTTCAATGTATTGGACACTTTTTATTTTATTCAAGAAATCTGTTCCATGTTCAAAGCCTTGATTAAAGAGGAAGTTTTTATGATAAAAAAAAAAAAAAGAGAACTCACTAAAGGCCAGCTATCCTTCCAGGTGCCAAAAAAGATATTCCTACACATAGGTACATATGGACAGGGAGGCTAAGGGCGCGGCTTTAAGATCAGATCAATCCTGCCACTTAGTACCGATGACCTTTACTTTGGCCAGTTGCTTGAATTTTCTGAGCCCTGGTTTTTGTTTCTGTAACGCGGGGATCATTGATCCAGCCTCAGCTGGACCATTGTGAGCTTTAAATGGGATAATCCACGGGCAGCACTCAGCCCTGTGCCTACCACGTGACAGATACAACATTTCCTTGTAATCAGCACGGGGCAGAACACTGCGGCCAACCCCTCACACACTGGAGGTTGCACCACGGCTGGAGAGCAGGTGAACCTTTGCACAAACAAGGTTCATCGTTGTATCCTCAGTACCTGGCAGAGTCCCTGGCGTGTGGTAAGTGCTAAGTAAATATTTCTGGGATGGATTAATACATAAATAATACTACAGTTAATGACAGACGTTGTCCAAGTAATAATAACATCAACCCGCTATTATAAATGCTAGCATTATAATGTATTGTTATTGCAGTAACATTTACTGCAGTGGTTCCTCCGACTTTAGCTTGCGTGAGGTCACCTGGAAAGCCGTTAAAACGAGTTGTCGGCGGGGGGCCAACGATGATGTGCTGGTTAAGGTGCTGGATTTCCACATGGATCACCATGGTTCAAGTTCCAGACCTGGTAACTTGCTTTCTCACTTTCCTTCTGTCTCTCTCTCTCTAGTGAGTATATGTGCCCTAAGCAAACTTAAAAAATAAAATAAAATAAAATAAATAAAATAAATAAATAACAACAATAATAAACAGATTGTTGGGTCCCACCCCCAGAGCTTCTGATTCAGTAGGTCTGTTGCCGAACTGAGAATTTACATTTCTGACATGTTATTAGTTACACTGGGGCTGGAGTCTAGGAATGCACCTGAGAACTGCTCATTTGCAGTGAGCTTCCCACAGTGTTGTGCTAAGCACCCCACGTGGATGGTTTCATTTAGTGCTCACAACTACGCTATGAGACCAGTATGGACTCTTTATATCCCTTATCTACACATGAAGAACCTGGTAGAATCTCAGGAACTTGCTCAAGGTCTCATAACTATTAAGTGGCAGGTTCTTATATAGATCTGACTCCGGAGTCCTCACTCTAAGTCATGATATTAAAATGAAAATGAATTGGAGCCAGTGGGTAGCATGGTGGATTAAGGCACTGGATTCCTATGTGGCCAACTGTGGTTTGAGTCCTGGACCTGGTGGCTTAAAAATCACACTTGGCACATGTGTGTGCATGCCCAGAATCCCCAGAGGAGACTGGAGGAGAAGGGATTGAGGCAGGCCCCCTGGGCTCATTTTACACTTTCCCTTTTTCTGTCTTTCTAGGGCAAGCGCACATACTCTATGGCAAACAAACAAAACATTATTAGGGGTACGTTCCCTTATTTGCATTCATTGACATCATTGGTGTGTTGCAGAAACAGACTGGAGAAACCAAGCGCCACTCTGAGAGCAGGGAACATGGGTTTATTCTGCCAGCGGACCCAGAGGAGTTCTCACCACGCTCTGGGCCCAGAACAAACATGACTGCAGACTTATAATGGGTTGTGTAGCAGGGGAGCGGGATAGGGGCTTCACGCACGGCAAAGTCCAGTTTGAACTGAGTTAGGCTGATCTCATGGTCTGCAGCTGCTGGGCCCAGTCGCTCACGCACAGGAATGTCTGGTCAGACTGACCTGGGCCAATTTTGCTATCAGCTGCTGGACCCAGTCGCTCATGTGGGAGTGTCTGGTCAAACTGGCTTGGGGCAATCTTGCTATCTGTGGTCTGCATCTGCTGGGCCCAGACGCCTACAGGGAGCTGATCAGGGTGATCACAATACAATGCTTTTCCAGGGCATTGCAAGCAATTTACAGAAACAGAACAGCATTGACTTAGGCTCTTATGAAAAAAAAAAATTCCCCACAGAACAGAATCCATGTCAAGTGTTCATGTCTAGAATCCTACTTTAATTCAGTTGTTTTCCAACCAAGTTCTGGGTTGCGGTTCACAGAGATATATCATCAGAACAAATACGTTGACATAACGAACTAGCTCCCAGACAAGGGGTTCAAAAGAGTTCGATGGAGAGCAGAAAAACACAACAAAACAGGAACGCCTGAGAGGTATTCCAGGGTACCTGTGAGACACTTGACAAAAGAGGCAGTGCTTGCGACAAAGGATATATAGCAAAGTTGGCCAAGAAGACAACTTTCACTTTATTCATCCTCACTTCATTCATTTATTACCATGACAATTTACAAAATACTTATTATAGCAAAGTTGGCCAAGAAGACAACTTTCCCTTTATTCACCCTCACTTCATTCATTTATTACCTTGACAATTTACAAAATACTTACAGAATATCTATTACCAGCTGGGGGCCATTTGTTGCTCAAGATACAGTGAAGGGGGGCCAGCAAGTGGCACAGTGGTTAAGGCACTGGACTCCATGTGGCTGACCCCAGTTCAAGCCCCAGACCTGGCAGCTTGAAATTCATGCTGGGCGTGTGTGCGTGCATACGTGCCCAAAATCCCAGGAGAAGAATGGAGGAGAAGGGATTGTGGTGCGGCCATCCTCATGGGGATTGATCTCTTGCTTTCTGTCTCTCTGTCTCTCCAGCAAGTACACGTGCCCTACAGCAAAAATCTCTAATATATGTGTGCATACATACAGCAAAGAGTAAAAATGGATGTGGTGGACCAGCCACAGTAGCACAGACAGTAGAATACTGAACTACAGTGCTGCAGACCATGTGGTTGCCCGTGGGTCCAGTTCCCAAGCTGACCTGAAACACACTGGGTGCACACAGGTGCCCCCGATCCTGATTAGCTGGAGGCTTCGGGGAGGTGGATCACGTCATACAAGATCCTGTTGAGGATACATATCTCCCTCTCTGGAAATAAAATAAATTAAAAAAATAGAGATGGCCCACCACCCTCAAACCTTATAGGGTGTTCAATAGTATTAAGTTCGGAAACAACTGAGCCCAGGTCATGAAGTCTTGAAATCCGGCTCTGGCCATGTGATTTTCTTCTGTACCAGCCCTTCGGTTCTGACTCTACTGAGTCTTATTATCTTGGCTGATTCACTCTGTCTGTTGATCTAATGAATTTCCATTCTGACTCAGACAGCTCAACTCAGTTCTGACATCATGATTTCAAAAGCCTCCTTGTCAATAGAAGTTTTTAAATTCTTGACTATGGACAGGATTTGGCTGGGTTTTGATAATTGGTAACTTGCAGACATGACTAATAGGTGGAGGTTTTAATTGGTCTGCTCTTGTGTTCTTACTCATTATTGCTAATTGCCCAGTGTGTCTGTTACGCCAGATGGATGTTAAAAGAATGGCCTCATGGGTGGGCCTGAAGCACCATATTTAGGTTAAAGAGAACCATGGTCCTGGAAGGGAGAGGGGGACGCTATTCTTTTTTTAAGAGGTTTTGTTATAGGGTGGATGGGCGCTCGCCAGAAATACAGAGACAGAGAGAAAGCGAGAAATCACCCCCTAGGGAGGATGGCCACGCCGCAATCCCTTCTCCTCCATTCTTCTCTCGGGATCTTGGGCATGCACACACACGCGCCCGGCGTGAGTTTACACCACCAGGTCCAAGACTCGAACCATGTCCGAACACTTGGGAGTCTAACTATGTAGCCATTATGCCATCTGCTGGTTCCTGGGATGCTATTCTTCATTCTGCCATGTAGCACCTTTGCTTTAGATGAGACTCCGGTGACCAAATTCAAAATACTGAAGACCGTGGGACTTTTTTTTTTTTCGTGCTAAGTTTTTGCTATAGGATGTATGTGCTGGCCAGAGAGTGAGAAAGAGAGGGGAAAGTGAGAAATCACCCCCTACGGTACATGGCCACGTCTCAACCTTTCTCCTCCATCCTTCTCTTGCATTTTGGGCATGCATGCACTTGTGCCTAGCGTGAGTTTCAAGCCACCGGGTCCAGGATTCGAAGTGCACAGTTGGCCACATGGGATCCAGCTGCCTTAACCTCTACGCCACCAGTTGACCCATGTAGTGCTTTTTATTCTAAGAAAATCTTTTCTGAATCCTGTGTTTAGCATACTTTCTGTGAGAAAACTCTGTTTTACGTGTTCTAGGTTAGATTTATGTACTCTGACAAAATTATGACCTATTAATAATAGGGGCCAGACCATGATGCAACAGTAAAATGCAATGCTCTGAGAGGCAATCCCTCATGGGGAGTTTCCCAGTTCAAGTCCAGAGACTTCCCTAAGTACACCAGGCATCCACGTGCCCATGACCTGGGGCTGGCTAAAGGCCGGGGTGGATGGCAACCTCGAGACCCTGCTGCAGATGCTGCCTCTGTCTCTCTTGCTCATGAAAGAAATAAACTTAAAACATATATAGATATGGGAAGTCTTGACAGATGAAAAGCCAAGTTTCAAGGAACCATGTGAAGTGAAGATGGAAGAAAAAGGAAGAATGGGGTAGAAAGACTGCACGAAGAGATCTGTGATTGACAGGAAACCTGGAGTTTTCATAATGAGCTCAAGAAAAGCTATCGTCTGTCTCCTAGAGACGCAAATTTCTGCCATCCAATCTGCAGATTTACATTAAAAACAAAACTAAATTTAAGCTTCAAAGTAAAAAAAAAAAAAAAATCAACATTCAGGCAGACAGATGGGCTGTTTGCTTTGAACGAGTGGCAGCAACCAGTCTCCTCCGAGAGCTGGCCCAGGGAAAACGCGGGGAACACAGACAGTTGCAACCATGGCTGACGCATGGGCTGTGCGGAATGAAATCAGCTTTCAGAAAGAGAAGCGGAAAAGAAGCCCAACACGCATCGTCAGGACAAGTCCACACAGTCAGTTCTTTTGGTTAATGCCAAATCTTACTCACCAATCATAACCGACCCACCAGTGCCTATGCTGATGTGGGTATTTCCAGTAGAAAATTATTCAGTTTGTGAGAGGTCTCCCCAGACAAAGCTTTCATTTTGGCAAAAAATTAGATGAAGCTGAATCAGCCCCATCAAGCTAATCCATGCTGCCCACTCGTGTCCACTCTGCCGTGGCTTTTGGCAGGGTGGCCCTCCAGCGTAGCCATCAGCCTTGGCTGTCCCTAGGTGGCCTGGCTAGGCCCACATCAGAGTTGGGAGTGCAGCAGGAAGAAGAGGAGAAGGAGGAGGAATCTATATAGCTGTGTGTTTAAAAGCTTAGGATCTGGAGAAAGTCCTGGTTCAAATCCCACATCTGCCTCTCACTATGAGACCTCAAGTTCTAAATAAATATTCAATTTTTAAAATTTTTGTTAATGAGAGGGTGTGTGAGAGAGGGAAGGGGAGAAAGAAAAAGAGGCTTTTGTTTTGTTTTAATTCTAAGAGTCTATTTTATGTTTTTCTTTTATTAGTTTCTTAAAAATTTACTATAGGGTGTGTGTGCTGGCCGGGAGGGAGACCTAGGAACATAGAGACAAGAAATCCCCCAGGGGGCTGACAACACCACAATCCCTTCTCCATTCTTTTCTTGGGACTTGGGCATGCATACATATGCACCAGGTGCGATTTTCAAGCCACTGAGTCCAGGTCTCAAACCATGCAGTCGTCCACGTGGGATCCAGCACCTTAA